GATGATGTTAGATTAGAATAGGTTAGGTCAGGTTGTTGAAGGTTGGGTTAGACTAGGCATGGTATGGTTAGGATATTTATGGCTAGGTAAAAGTATTGTAAGCAAATATGAAAGACTGTAATGACACACACAAGAAAAGGCCACAATTTGGGGAATAGTTGTGTGTATTGTGAAATGTGTGGCAATAAGAAGAGAGATAAAGAAAAATATAATATAATGAAAAAAGCGCGTGATCTGGTTGCAGGTTCTCCTATATCTTATCACTTCATTTCCCACACGCGTTGCATCATCGAACTTTTCAATGCATGAATTAGAATTCAATTTGTTTAATTGAGAATGCATAAGCTCACTTTTGAATCTAGAATGGGGAAGTAAATACATCCTAATATTTATATTTTCGAAAGCATAAACTGTTAATATAATGTTAATTATATTTCTTCGAAACCAATAAGGCTTCATGAACGAATTGGTAGAAAGAACCTCGTGTCTCTATTACCAAGTGACCATGAGCGGCATCCATTACGCTATCTTTTAATGTTTGGTACTGACCATTAATGGTTCAACCATGAATTGTCTCGCCGCAGCTCAAACTTAACATTAGGCTAACCGGTTGCAGTGCAACCAGTGTTGAGAAGTACGTAGCAGAAAGGGCAGTAAAAGTGTACTAATTTTCACTAGTCGATAGTGTTTTGCATGCATGAAATAATTGATGTAAGCCCAATGCTGAATAATGATCTTCACAATCGTTATTCAGCATCAGAGTGGACTGAAAAGTCCTAATAATGCCTGTTTTTTATTCACTTAACGATTTTTTTATTCGATAAACGTTCCTGATAAATCTTGAAAAGTTTACTGGTCACTTATAAACTTGCAAAGTAGTCTCTCAACAGTTTTTATGAGTTATATGTAACGTTTACCAAGTGTATGAGAATACTACTAGTTACGCGTTGTGATTCTCAGAGAATATAAGCTCTCAATTTTAGACTCCTCACGTTTTAAGGCATATTTTTACACTTTTCTCTTCTCTTTTTACGATAAAGCTTTAAAATCATACATATTTTCTGCAAAGAAATATTTTAAAGTGCATATCTTCTCCTACAGCTGGCGACAGCAGCAGCATCCACATGAGCAATGTGACTGGCAAGCACAGCAAGTAAGATGATATGCTGTAGCTTTATTGTAGCACAATTGTAGCAGTTTCAGAATTTATTAGGCCATGGGCCTGTCGCCGATTCATAAAATCGCAGAACAATTAACATATTGTTACGGTCTCTAACCCGCAGCTCAGTGCTTCAATTATTTTGCTTTGCTTAACCGCCCGGTCTCCCCACCGATATAGACCAGAAACTAGCGCACAGAGCTGGGATCGAACCCGCACCTATCTTCTTTAATTCTGGTACACTGGACTGTAACCATTGGGCCACCCTGTGGAAAATAAATATAATAAATGGCGCCGAAATAAAATATATTAAAAAAATACATTTAGTTTATGGGTGTTTGATTATGAATCAAGTGTAAAGGGTAACAAGCATAGGTTGCTATGCTGAGAAACGTCATATCTCGGTTTGACGCTTTCGTTTCAGTAAAATTGTCATGTTTGTAAGATCAATTTTATCCGCAATTACAACTTTATCGTAGTTCAAAATCCTTCGAGTTGACCATCTTTACCTTGGCTCTCTACCTGTGGTGAAAAAACGGACGGTGAATGTCATTTGAAAAGCTCAGTCCGCCGTGCTGTTCATATGACACGGATTGGACAATTCAAATTATAATAAAAATTGAAAATGACTATAAAAATTCATGAAAATTTTTGAGAGTAGCAATAGTGTTACAGAATGTCTTGCCGTTGAAGCTCTGACTTTTGCAAACTACCTCTTGTCTTTGCAACTCTTGGCTGCTGGAAACTCAGCTCTACTATTTCATGAGTAATTTGGTCTAAAAATCTTTCAATCGCGAGAAAAACAAGTCGGATTGCAATTTTTCATTAACCCTGATAAGGAAGAATTTAACTCAAAGAATACTCATTCTTGAAGATATTATAGCGCATGTCGCACCGTGACAAATTTGCTTGCTTTCCCCACTCAGAAATTTACTCAAGATTTTAGAAATTGTTCAGAAATTTATTCTGAACGCAGACAGAAATTCTGATAAAATTTAATGCACAGGATGGACGAAGGTGACGACGATGGACTAGAAGTGTTTCCCGACATGGCGGAGTTCATTGGTGACGATGACAGCTCGGCCGTCATATCTCCCTACGACATCATCACCCGCACCCTACATCAGGTGATATGCAGCTACATCACCCGCACCCTACATCAGGTGATATGCAGCTGAGCCGCGAACCCAGCAGAAATAGCCGAATTATTGACGTGCGACTCAGCAAAAGTGTCGACGCAGGTTGCATCCCAGCACAAACACCTCCCATTAGAAAACGGGAAAACCGTTAAGCCATCTGGTCTCTTACCATCCCCTCTGTCCACTCCAACGGGTTCAATTTGTTTTTAATCTGAACCTTGTTTCATGATTGTAGCGCTAATAGAACTCGAGATATGATCTTTCAGAGTTGACAAGAATCGAGCAGCTTTCACCAAAAGTGCACCCAAACGGCACATCTCTTGAGGTACGTAATGTAAGTTTATTGTGCAAGCTACGTATTTTTGTGAAACTTACCTGATTACCTGCTTCAGCTTTTTGGCACTAATTCGGTGAAATAAAAAATTAAAAAAGTCCCATTGGAAAATTTTTTTCATTCAACACCAAAATTGCTCAGTGAAATTTACTCACCTCTTTCCTTATTTCAGATTTTTTGGCTTTTTCAAAGGACTATAACTCGGATGCGATTGCGATTGTGGAAATTTGTACAAATAAAAATTAGTAGAGAATTAAATTCCCGTTTCACGGGCCCCAAGCTCACTGCTCGGGGCCTTCTCTTGCCTCCGTTATTTTGTGACAGATATTTGCAAAGTTAACTCATATGGGATAAAGTTAATACATTTTTATGTTATATTGTCATGAATATGGTTGTTTGAGGCCGGAGTTCGCCTTTCCAACACGTTTATAGAGTGTTGGAAATGCGAACTCCGGCCTCAGACATCCATAAGGCAATTAGAGAACATCATTGTTTTCATGTGTTGTGTGATAAACATAGGTTCCTGGTGTTAGGTTCAAGCAAGGAACAAGTTCATTTCGCGTCCACATATGTGATGATGGTTAAATTAGGTTAGGTTAGGTAAGGCTAGGTTAGGTTTAGTTAGGTAAGGTTAGGTAAGGTTAGGTTAAGTTAAGTTAGGCTACGTAAGGTCAGTTCAGGTTAGGTTAGGACAGGTTGGGTAAGGTTAGGATATGTTATGCTGGGTTCAGTTTGGTTAGGTTTTGCCTAGGTAAAAGTAATGTAAGATTGTCTTAAAAACTGTAATAGCACACAGGAAAAGGCCACAATTGAGGGATTGCAGTGTGAAGTAGGAAATGTGTGGCAATAAGAAGAGAGATAAAAAAATGTAGATATATAATAAAAAAATCGCGTGGTCTGGTTACCGAACAACTGGCACGGAAAGTGGTGACATATTCCAACCTGGATTGTGTTCATAATTTTTCAGATAAGGGAATCACGGGTCGACTCTGTAAATATTTTAGTTTGTAGGCTGGAGTATTGCTGTTCACAGAAAGACAACAGTAAGGCCACAGAAAATGACTAATTTTACCCCACAGCACTATTGGGCGCATGCCGAAGGCCAATTTGCCCAATTTCACACTTTAGTTCACAGTCATGTATGTGGGTAAGCACGCGGGTGGGTTAAGCGCCCTAAAAAGTCAAGTGCCTAAAGTCATAGCGTCGTATGCTCAAAGCCATCACTTAAGCATGCTCAATTTATCTACACTTCCAATTGGGGCAGGACTCAGCGCATATAAAACCAACATAGCAGGTTTGCATCAGAACAGGACATGCCGGCCTCATACATGTGATGTTGGCTGCGCACCCTAAACCGACAGCGCCGGGAGCGACCATTTTCTGCAGGCATGCAGCTCACACACGTCTCCCTAAACGCGACATGTTGGCTCTACGCAACTTTCCTCCTGAGCCTTTCTGCCTTTCTTAGCAAAGACTGACTTTAGAATCTAATCAAGTGTAACTGGTAACAACTTCTAAACATTGGCTGTGATGATTTCACCTTTGACTGGTAGGACTGCAGGACTGTCACGGCAGACAACTCTCCCTTTCTGAGCTGCAGCAGGAGATCCGAGGGCTGCAGAAGTAACACGTCCCTGCGCTGCTTCGTCAGCAGGACGTCTTCCCCTCCACAGGATATGAGCTCCTTTTCTAGAGCAAGCCTGTCTGCCTGGACCTTCTCTCGGTGCTCGCGATATCTGTTTAGGAATTTAAATTCAGTTAGTTAATTTTAATCCTGCAGCTATTCAGCATTGAGCTATTCACTTTCATCGAATCTACCAATTGACGACTGGGATTTACAGCTATCAGATATCCGGTTGTATGCAGTGTAGGATAATGATAAGTCTGCTATGTCTGGAGTGACCATATTAGAAGTTTTTCGCACTCATAGCAGAGGAATACATCAAAATACTGTCAGTAAACGTTGAATCTGATCGACAAGTGTTGAATACAAATTTACCATCATTCATCATTGGCACCATCGATCTGAATGATGCTATGGAGATCACAATAAAACCACCCCGGCCAATAAGCTGTTATCTCATAGACTTCATGAAATAAGTGTTTACCCGCGTTTATACCATTCATATAAACTTTATTCATATTATTTTTGATAATTTCTATCACAAGTGGCGGAAGTTCCTGTTGATTACTTATATGATTACCTATTCTACATATGATTTACTTTCATTTTATGTCAGTTCTGGATCTTTGAAGAAGAATTTTTTTTACACACAGCTAGATGAAGGCTGCTTTAAAACGTAAACAATTCAAACAAAGTCTGATGGACATAAAGTTATTTCGAGAAGATACAATTTTTGTGGTGAGAAATTTCAGGAAAGTGTTTTGAAATAATAATGCCAGTCAGATTTCCTAACACGTCTTGCATTTAGTTCCTGGACGAAAAAACTAGGAAAATTACTGGAATTATTTATTATTAATCCAGGCTAGCTAGGGCTGACCCTACATTTGAGCACACCAGGTTTTCGAAATCGAAATCTGAATTGCACTCACCTGTCCTCCAAGGAACTTGACATGATGATTGGATTAAGAAATTTATTTTGATTACAACCTCAAGCCCTGTAAAATAAATTCATAAGCATCGACTTCGATATGAATGCCGTTTGTAATGAAGAGATAAGAAACACAAATAATTTGAGGCAAGGTCGAATTTTTATCCGGAATATCTTTGCATTTTTGTAACGCCCACCATCAATCAATCATTTAAATCAATACTCAAAAATGGTCAATTAAATATTACTTGGAAAGTATAATTGTGGCAACGATAACTGAGAACTTAAATAATAATGAAATATTCTTCCACTGTTGCAGTCTTATAGTGAATTTTAAACTCAAGCAGCCAAGTGAACTACGACTCGATTTTGTTATAATTAACATATGTTTGTCATAATTAACATGTTATACAATTATATTTATAATTAAAGTCGGGAATTTTATAAAAATTGCAGAGCAAGAATTCATATGGCTCTTGATAACGACGTCCGTGCATCGGTTACCGATGCCAAAGAAGTTCTAATTCAAATTAAGGGAAAATTTTCGATAAAAACTTCAATGTTGAATCATTAATTCTTCAGCGCATCTATCGTATGAGAGAAGAACATCATAGAGCTTTATTTTTTATCACAAAAACGCATTTATACCACCAGCTTCTCACAAGCAAGAAGTTCTTAGTAGATTTATTAGAGTACCATAATTTATTTTGCCAAAACTAATTAAAAATCGAGGATATTAATACATTCGATTTGATTTGCCCAACTTTTATCTCCATTAGTATGAAAAGAATGTAAGGACCCAGTGAAAATATACAGACGCGGCAGCTCCTGATTTGGATTACCAGAACTGGGGCGACTCTAAATTTTCTTAGGGGATATTTTTCAAATAGACAAAAACTCGGTAAAATAAACAAGATTTTGTCCGCATATTGATGCGATTTCTTACGCTTGTGTCAATCATCCTGACCAAGATCGGCCAGGCAAACGATCGTATCACTGCTACTACCACTCGCTGCTCGTACTGTGGCAAAGAAAGTGTGTCACTATATGTACAATGCGATCCATTCGTTTCTCTTAGAGAAAAAGAAGAATCATCCTTGAATATTATTAATTTAATATTATATTATAATATTAATATTATGATATTAATTCATACTACTCTTCAACTAGAAGAATGTACTATTGGTACTCCCGAGGAGATTGCTTATCACCAGCGATCGTCCCACTCTAAACTACAGCTCATTGCACAAAACAGCCCACACATACTAAAAAACGAACTGAGTTGAACGAACACATACTAAAAACGAACTGAGTCAAAAACGAAAAACATGTTGTCCAAAAAGTTAAATTCTCACAAATAGCACGAGAAGAGAGCGTACGTAGCATTGATATGCTTATTAACGTGGCAAAATGGGTTAGGGTTAGGATGATATACAGAAGTGAAAAATGTGCATGCATGAGATCGAGATTATGATCAATTTACGCAGCGTGACAGGTAACAGGGATAGGAATGAACACGTACAGGCCTGATTCATTTCGTTTAGGACTTGGTTTGGAATCCATTCAAATAAATTGCTGCAGTGACTTAATCATTAACAATGATAGCTAATTTCATGTCAGCAATTGACGGGTTTGGATTACGTCTAATAGCTACTGGTCGGAAGTTACTATTTAATATTTTAGTGCGAAATATGAAAGATTGATAGTCTTGTGTTATCCTGATCATGTGATAAATTTTCTGCGGTATTTGAAATCACTCATTCAAATTAAAAATTCATCTGTGGTTGTAATCCGACGACAAAATTTACGCTACATGATCAAAGGCTTCACATCAAGGACAGACAGTGAAATAATCACATAACCGCGTAGATATGGTTCACAACTTGGCTGTTCAACTGAAAAATAACAGTATCATCTGTACAAATCGAATTAATGATAAACTGATACGTAATTTTTCAGGTCACGATAGGACGAGCGCGTCATCTGCTGCAACCGTTGCGATCAGTAAAGAACAACTGTCGCTCTGTTCCGAGCCTCGGTGAGAACTGGGGCATCAGGCACACAAGTTATGTTGTGATACTCTTTGGTACCAGAGATGTAACTAACTGATCTTGGAAGTTCTTCCACGAAACTATATACTCTTTGATACCTGATATGTAACTAACTGATCTTGAAAGTTCTTCCACGAAGCTATATACTCTTTGATACCTGAGATGTAACTAACTGATCTTGATGAAACTAACTGATCTTGAAAGTTCTTCCACGAAGCTATAAACTCTATGGTACCGGTACCTGAGATGTAATTAACTGATCTTGAATTAATTAACTGGTCTTGAAAGTTCTTCCACGTTGGTATAATCTTTGGTAATAAGGGCGTAATTAACCGATCTTGACGCTCTTTCATGGTCCAATTAATCTCGAAAAAAGATTGTCTGTCATTGCATGGTCCGTGTAGGACGTTATGCTTTCAGGGTCTTCTTGCATTATTAAAAGAACCGGAACATATTTTATTTATCAGAAATTTATTTACTCTGCATCTGACCATTACCGTATGAATTAATCATCAAATACAATGCTAAAATATGAATTTTAAAGAAAATGTTCCTATTAATTGAACAATAATTTCAAGGCTCATTTTAAATACTAATTCATTAGTATCGAAAGGATTTATTCACATCACCAACATGAATTAGAATATTGATAAATTATCATTTAGCACTAGGTGAATGAGTATGGTAAATCTGAAAAAGTTTATCGTTCACTTTGAAAATTTACCGTTAAAATTAACAGTTTCCAACGTAATTTTCAAGTCTGAATAATCAAACTAATTTTCTTTCTCAGCGGGAGTGAAATTCATGAAATTTTTGTTGATCCGGAAATAAAGGCGCAATTGATACTCAAATTAGTGCTGGTGTAGGTCGAAGGCCAGCCGTTATTCATGGGCTTTCAACGATTCAATGAATCATTCTCTTAATTGAATATCCATAAGTCATCATTCTCTCATAATTCTTATTCTAGCCACAAATTTGCTTATTCAAAAGTAGCATCATTGCTGTCAATAGTAAAACAAACTCAAGTCAACTGACTATAAAATTTGAAAAGTTTACTCAGAGCTAACTTAAAACCCGCATCCAACTCTTCAAAATTACGTTATATTTTCTTTATGTATCCATAGAGCATTCTTTTTAGCTCTGATTAAAGCCAAGTAACTCAATGAATATGGATCTTTACATTAAATCATCTGAGCTATTTTCATGCTTTCATTTGGTAATCTTCGCCACATTCATCTATCAGTTCACTATAGTATGTCTTATCGTTTACACTTTTCATCATCATTATTGCTTTGAAAATAGTTTCGATGGTAACCCCCTTCCGTTACTAAAAAAAACTTTAATCCAATGCCATCAGCGACTTTTTACAATCATTTAAATCAATTTTGTTGGAAGCAGCGAGATATTCAAGAAGAGGTTTGCGCCTTGTAGATGGACATTCCTCCATGCACTATATTTTCTCATCACTCCTTATCATCACTCTTTATTATCGCTCTGCTTCTCCTATCTGCTCAATTCGACGAATAACATATTTGCTGAACATTTGATATTGTAATCTTTTCTGTCGAACATTTAGAGTCAAGACATCGTTCAGAAAAATTCGTTGTACTCGGTGTCTAGAAACTAATCTAAGTTAACGGTTCGAAAGTTAATCCTTTTTGTAATAAAAACAATATTCATTTGTTGATTTGCATCTGGTCATTGTTTGTACGCATTTCAACAAGAAAATTCTTCCATCTAATGCTAAGTAGTTTTATATATGTATAAATGTGTATACACACACAGCTATAGAGTCACTTCCACATCAAAAAAGATGTTATAAGATGGTTGTTGAGAACACTCATTCTACGCAATATTGGTTCATAAATTAACCGCAGAAATTTAATGTGATGTCAGTTTTGGACCCACCTTCTGCAACTGTGAATGAGTACACTCAAAGGAATGAGAGGGACTGTCCGAATAGAGATGCATTTTTTACATTCGTGTTACCACATCGTGACCAATTTGAAGGGCGAGTCAGTGATAAAAGGGCGAACCCGGGCGACGTCTGCTCTCTGATTTTCATACTGATTAGGAGTTAGTACTATTCTCATGGCAACACAAAATCCCAGAAAATGGTTGTAACGAGCATCAGGAAAAACATTTTTAAATACATACACTCCTGCATAAATAAGAAAGACACCGTATTCAACTGCTTTCCAATAGGACAAAGTTTTCATTCCTCCCACCATTTTCCTAGAAAATTCTGATGGGAGACAAGATGCGAAGCTTTCAATCCTATTGTCAAACTCACTACTCGTCCAACTTGACCTTCTCAATACAAGTTTATTCATTAATAAAAGATCTTTAAATTATAATTATAATCATTTAATAACAATAGGAAGAATTAAATTGTTAGTTATATTATTATTGTAAACCGTAATAGTAGACATATCCCTTATTTAGTGCCGAGGGTGGACTATTACCATCCAAAACAGGCGCTGTGAGCAACGGTTCCCTATAAAATTTTTCTTAGTTTAAACTTGATATTAATAAATATTCGAGCCGAATTGCTGATTCTTGAGTGCATATAATACTGAGGACCAAGATTTAGATAAATATTTTTGGCGGTCAGATTTTCAGATATAAGATGAGTTGGCAACAATATCCCTGATGCCGTCGTGCTTGCGCGATAGGTAAAGATATAACGTGAAGATAGTATGTATTTATTTGATATTTTTTATATTTTTATATTTTTGCAACGAAAGCGCAGATGTTGTCATCAACAAGGAGATTAAAAGGCCAATCGTTGTTATCTAGTGACCGGTTATTATGATCGTTATCTTCAAGCAGTCGATGCAGTCAGAGTAAATACATTGCTGGAGTTTATCTACACTGAAGAAAATGAATAGGTTATTGTGTATACATAACGACACACTTTCCACGTAGGAATTACACGGCCTTTTCACGGAAAAACTAGGGAGAATGATCCACACAAGGCAAAAATGTTCATCGTTATTCAGAAGCATGAGCGTTAGGCAACGGTTGGTCACCCAACGCATAGGGGTAAGCACAAATTTCAATAATGATTAAGTATGAAAAATAAAGTCTTTTAAAAATCAAGAGTAATTATTTTAAATTTAATTCAGTATGACATTCAGTTCGTTTAAAGTCTTTCAATAATGGCAATGGGATAAAAATTGGCACGGGGATAAATAAATGAATAGACCGTAGTCTGGATAAAGTTTTAGAAATATTTTTGCAGCAATCGTGTTGTTGCCTACGGCACCTTTCCTAATTATGTATTTTCCTCTTTAAATATCCATCTTTGATTGTTTTCTAGAATCGATTGGCCTGAAGCTTTATAATATTAATTTCATTTATATGATAGATTGAATTTAATGATTGCATCGCCCGTCGTGCAAATAATCATTTGAGTGCAAATGCATAGAATAAATTATTAATTGGATCGCTAGCTGGGGGAATCAAGGAGACGGAAGACCAACAAATGAATTTTGTTTTTATTACAAAATGGTTAACTTTGGAACTATTAGCGTAGATTAGTTTCTATAGACTCCGAGTATAATGAATTATTTCTGAACGACTATAAATGTTCGACAGAAAAGAATACAATACCCTATGTTCAGCACATATGTTATTCATCGAATTGAGCAGATAAGAGAAGCACATCGATGATAAAGAGTGATGATAAGGTGTGATTAGAAAAAAATAGGGCATGGAGAGATATCCACGCGCTAGGCACAAACCTCTATTTGAATATCCTAATGTTTCCAACAAAATTGATTTAAATGATTGTAAGAAATTACATGATGGCTTAACAATAAAGTTTTATTAGTAACGGAAACTGGTTACCATCGAAACTCTTTTCAAAGCTCTAATAATGATGAAAAGTGTGAACGATTAGACATACAATAGTGAACTGATAGATGAATGGGGCGGAGATTACAAATGAAAACACGAAAATATATCAGATAATTGAATGCAAAGATTCTGATTCATCGAGTTAGTTGGCTTTGATCAGAGTCAAAAAGAATGCTCTATAGATATTTAAAGAAAATATAACGTTATTTTGAGGAGTTGGAGACGGGTTTTAAGCTCTGCGTAAAAATTTCAAATTTTATAGTCAGTTGACTTAATTTTGTTTTATTATTGATAGGAATCTCTTTCGAAAAGACAAATTAGTGTCTGGTATAAAAATTATGAGAGAATGATGAATTACGGAAATTAAATGAAAGGAAGTATTCAGTGAATCATTGGAAGCCCATAAATAACGGTTGGCCTTCGACCGTACAACAGTATCAATTCAGAATCAATAGCGCCATTATTTCCAGTTCAACAAAAGTTTCTTGAATTTCACTTCCGCTAAGAAAAAAATTTTTTTTTATTATTCGAGAATTTAAATTTACTTAGGAAACTGTTAATTTTAACAGTAAAGTTAAAAATTGATGATAATTTTTTGCCGATTTACCACACCCATTCACCTAGTGCTACATGATAATATATAAATATTCTAATTCATGTTGGTGACGGGAATAAATCCTTTCGATACTATTGAATTAGTCTTTACATTTATCTTTGAAATTATTGATAAATTAATTTGAACATTTTCTTTTAAATTCGTATTTTATCATTGTATGTGACGATTAATTCATATGGTAATGGTCAGATGCAGGGTAAATGAATTTTTGCAATGTATTTCGCCTTATTAATGCAACACGACGCTGAAAACAAAACATCCTACACGGACAATATAATAACAAGCAATGCGTTTTCGAGATTTTTTACGTCATAAAAAAGCGTCAAGATTGGTTAATTCAGCCTCACGACCCAAAGAGTATAACAACAAGGAGGAACGTCAAGATTGGCTGATTACGCCTTAGGTATAAAAGATTATACCAAGGTGTGAGAACTTTCAAGTTCAGTTAGTTACATCTCAGGTACCAAAGAGAATAGCTTCTTGGAAGAACTTTCATGATCAGTTAGTTACATTTCAGTTTCCAATGAGTACAGCTTCATGGAAGACCTTTCAAGACCAGTTAGTTACATCTCAGGTACCAAAGAGCATAGCTTCGTGGAAGACTTCTCAAGATCAGTTAGTAAAATCTCAGGTACGAAAGGGTATAGCTTCGCGGAAGACCTTTCATGATCAGCTAGTTACATCTCAGGTACCAAAGAGTATAGCTTCGTGGAACACCTTTCGAGATCCGTTATTAATATCTCAGGTACCAAAGAGTTAGCTTCGTGGAAGGCCTTTCAAGATCTGTTGGTTACATCTCAGGTACCAAAGCTTATAGCTCCGTGGAAGACCTTTCGAGATCAGTTAGTTGCATCTCAGGTGCCAAAGAATATAGCTTCGTGGCAGACCTTCCAAGATTTGTTAGTTACATCTCCGGTACCAAAGAGTACAGCATCGTGGAAGAACTTTCAAGGTCAGTTAGTTACATCTCAGGTACCCAAGAGTATAGCTTCGTGGAAGACCTTCCAAGATCTGTTAGTTACATCTCAGGTACCAAAGAGTACGGCTTCGTGGAAGAACTTCCAAATTCAGTTAGTTACATCTCAGGTATCAAAGAGTACAGCTTCGTGGAAGACCTTTCATAATCAGTTAGTAACATCTTAGGTCCCAAAATGGGTAACTTCGTGCAACAACATTCAAGATCAGTTAGTAACGTCTCACGTACCAAAGATTAGAGCTTCGTGGAAGAACTTCTACGATCAGTTAGTTACGTTTCAGGTACCATTGAGTACAGCTTCGTAGAAGATCTTCCAACATCAGTTAGTTACATCTCAGGTATCAAAGAGTATCGCAAGATAAATTGTGTGCCTGATGCCCCAGTTCTCATCGAGGCTCAGTCCACAACGACAGTTGTCCTTTGCAGATGGCAACGGTTGCAGCAGATGACGCGTCCGTCCTATCCTGACCTGAAGAAATTACGTTCAGATTATCATTAATTCGATTAGCACAGATGGTTCTGTTATTTTTAGTTTAACAACCAAGTTAGCAAACAATTCTACACTTTTCTGCGAAAATTTTACTAGTTGTCATTGTTGGGAAGCATGTGATCATGCAGCGTGAATTTTGCGGCAGAGTTGTATTTTTAATATGAATGATTGATTTTAAGTGCCACAGAAAATTTCTCGCATGATCAGGATAACACAAGACCATCAATCTTTCTAAACCTTAATTATGAATATAATTATATAACATTTTAATATTATAACAAAAATATGTTAACATATGCTAATTATAACAAACCCGTGTTGTTAGTTCACTTGGCTGCTTGAATTTCGAATTCGCTAGGAGACTGAAATTAATAGCGGAAGAATATTTCATAATTATTCAAGTTCTGAGCTATCGTTGCACAATTTTGTTTTGCAAGTAATATTTAATTGACAATTTTTAATTTTTGATTTAATTTCACATAAATCTAGATTTATTGTGTTGTGCCTCAACATTTTGTCTGTGTTGTAAAGCGAAGTTATTCCCACTGGTGGGCGTGACGAAAATGCGAAGGTATCCCGGATAAAAATTTAACTTTGCCACAAATTATTTGTGTTTCTTATCCCTACATTAGAAACGGTACTCAGATAAAAGTCGATACTTATGTATTTATTTTGCAGGGCTTGAGGTTGCAATTAAAACACATTTTTTAATCCCATCATCATGGAAAGTTCCTTAGAGGACAGGTGAGTGCAATTCAGATTTCGTAGCACCGGTATGCGCAAATGTAGGGTCAGCCCTAGCTAGCCTGGGTTATTAATAAAAAATGTTTAGCTATTTTCCTAGTTCTAAACATCCAGAAACTAAATGCTAGAAATGTCAGGAAGTATGCCGGGCATCATTTTTTCAACACGCTTTCCTGAAATTTCTCATTACAAAAATTGTACCTTCGTAATTGGACACGTTTAAAAGCAGTTGACAACTATATTTAAAAAATATTTTCTTGAATGATCCAGAACTTACCTAAAATGTAAGTAAATCATATATAGTATAGGTAATCACATACGCAATCAGCGGGAACTTCCGCCACTTGTGACAGAAATTATCAAAAATAATAAAGTTTAACGGTCTCTGAGAGAACAGGCTGAACAACTTATTGGTCGCGATGAAATCTTTTGTCTAATTAAACGAGAGAGATCTTCTGGCGCACATTTCTATTGTAATCTACACAGCATCATAATTCGGATCCATGGTGCCAATGATGAATGATGGTAATTTGTATTCAACAATTGTTGATCAGATTCAACGTTTACTGGCATTATTTTGATTTATTCCGCTACAAAGGGGGGGAAGAGGAACTTCTAATATGGTCACTCCAGACATAGCAAACTTATCCTACACAGCACACATCCGGTTTTCTAATATAAATCCCGATCGTTAATAGGTAGAGTCGATGAAAGAGGTTAGCTTAATGCTGAATAGCTGCAGGATTAAAATAAACTAAATGAATTTAAATTCCTAAACAGATATCGCGAGCACCGAGAGAAGGTCCAGGCAGACAGGCTTGCTCTAGAGAAGGAGCTCATATCCTGTGGAGGGGAAGACGTCCTGCTGACGAAGCAGCGCAGGGACGTGTTGCTCCTGCAGCCCTCGGATCTCCTGCTGCAGCTCAGAAAGGGAGAGTTGTCTGCCGTGACAGTCCTGCAGTCCTACCAGTCCAAGGTGAAATCATGACAGCCAATGTTTAGAAATTGTTACCAGCAACGCTTAATTGGATTCTATATTCAGTCTTTCTTAAGAAAGGCTCAGTAGGAAAGTTGGTATGGGGCCAACATGTAACGTTTGGGAGACTGTGTCAACTGCATGCAACTCTTACAGAAAATGGGTCACTTCCGGCGCTGTCGGTTTAGGGTGCGCAGCAAACATCACTGGTATGAGGCCGGCATGTCCTGTTCTAATGCGCACCAGCTATGTTGCTTTTTTCTGCACTGAGTCCTGCTCCAATTGGAAGCGCAGCCAAATTGAGCATGCTTAAGCGGTTGCTTTGGGCATACGGCGCCATGAGTTCAATTACTTGACTTCTTATGATGCATAGCCCGAAAGTGTGCTTTCCCATGAAAGTTAATGTGAACTAATGGCAAAGCGGCCTTCAGCATGCGCCCAATAGAGGTTTTGTGTTGCATTAGTCATTTTCCGTGGCTTTACTGTCGTCTTTCTATGGACAGCTCTACTCCAGTCTACAAATTAAAATATCTAGAAAATCGACCCGTGATTCACATACCTGAAAAAATATGAACACAATCCATGTCACCACTTTCCGTGCCAGTTGTTCGGTAAATATTGCTTCCAAATATATTGACTTAGCTGGCAACCTCTCTCTTCTTGGAAACATAGTGATAATAATGTCTGAGAATCAAAAATTATGATATAAAGGCGAAAGAGGTATTTTTTAGTGATTCTTTCTGTGCAGGCTCTTGACTTGGCAAGAAGCTTCAACTGCATAACAGAGTTCATCCCTGACGCAAAGGTAGGAAAAAATCCAATGTAATAAACCCCTACATGTAGGGCATTTGTTAGGCACTATTCAGTATTCATGAGTATAATTTTGAGGGGTATTCATAGCTCAAAATCTTTTAATTCCTCTTAAGATTTCTGTTGGTTTTCCTTCTCCTATACAACTCGGAATCTCATGTTGTAAAAGTTACAGGGGGGATGTTGGAGTAAAAGTTTCCAAGTGCTCAATTGTAAACAAAATCAATCAGATTGGCGCTACTTGGCTACACCGGTTGATAATTCCTATCGTGCAAGAGGCTACGAATAAAGGATGCTGCTGCCCACACCTGCAGACCTCTGTTGGTGACTATAAAGGATCCTGCTAAGGTTTGGTGCGTGCTGAAGGCAGCGAGAAAGCTTGTAATATCCGCTGATCACAAGTCAGTTTTTGTAAAGAAAGATTCCACCTCTTAAGAGAGAGAGGATTTTCGCAGGAAATGGCAAGAGAGAATCAGGCGGAAAAGCACGGAAAATCAGGTCAATCACTTCCAAGCTGCCAAGACAACACCGGCTGCTCACGGTCAATCAGAGGAGCTGGAGGACAAGTAATTACTAGTAATGATGTCCGTAGATCAAGGCCTGTAAATAATGTAGGAAGTAACAGCATACATCAAATTGAAAGTGCACAAAAAGTTTTAAAAATTCTTTACACGAACTGGGATTCCGTTTTTAACAGAAAAGTGAACTGTTAACTGTGATCGCAAACGAGTGTATAGACATTATTTGTATTACAGAAACACATCATAAGAATCACGGCGGGGGGAATTGTACCTGTTGAATTTCAGTTGCCAGGTTTTGATTTTTTTTATAACTTAAATGAAGGGCAATGTAGTAGAGGTGTAGCTCTGTGGGTTAAAACCTGTTATGGGGCCCAGCAAGTTGAACCATCTGCAGAGCATCAATCAGCTAGAGAATCAGTGCGGTCAGAACTTTCTCTAAAAGGCAAGGATAGCCTTCTCATAGGGGTCCTTTATAGATCACCTTACAGTTCCTCTGATAACGATAAAGTACTAAACAGCCTTTTACCGAGCGTGACTTTCAGCAGGTAGCATTCGTTGATCGTTGGAAACTTTAACAATCCAGAAATAGATTGGGCCGATGAATCCTCTCCAAGAGATGGGAATCACCCAGCATCCCTGTTCATGGAGTCTGTACGAGACTCATTTTTAATCCAGAACATCACCAAGCCAACTCATTTTAGGGGTAAACATACACCAAATATTCTAGATCTAATGTTTACTAGTGAAGAAGCAATGTTAGATGAGTTTCGCCACGAGGCTCTGTTGGGCAAAAGCCACCATCAATCATTGTTTTTCAGTGTTAAGTGCCATGCAGAAAAGACGCCTCGGAGGCATGAACGTTCGAACTTTGCGAAAAGCGACTATGATGAACTCCGCGAAGCAGTGAATGCGGCGAATATTTCTTACTATATTATGGACATGCATTGGGGGAGTCACTGTTTTTTAGCTCGAAATCAAGCTAAAAATGTCTGTCGCAGTGAAAAACTTCGAAAAAAATATTACTAAAATTGCAAAAAATAATCCGAAAGCCTTCTTTTTGTACGCTAGTTCGAAGTGTAAGAAAAACGACGGTTTGAAATTAGACCAAAGAAAGATTTCCTCCTATGAGGGCAGGGCTAACGTTCTTAATCAGTTCTTCAGCAGTGTGTTCACAGATGAGGATTTGAACAGTATTCCAGATATTGAGGAACGCCCAATCGGCTCGAGGTAAAGAGGTTTTGAAATACACGAAGAAGAGGTTCGCAAGCGCCTGGGCGCTCTAAATCCCGACATGTCATGTGACTTCCATCCCAGATTGCTCAAAGAATTAGCAACCGTTCTGGCCGGCCCATTGACAGTATTCTTTCAAAAAACCTTTAAGGAAGGAACTTTGCCGTCCGATTGGAAAGATGTTCAAGTAACACCATTGTTTAATAAAGGTGACAATAGTTGCCCCGGTAACTATCGCCCTGTCAGTCTGACAAGTGTTGTTTGTAAGGTAATGGAATCTGTTGTGAGGGATAGGGCTAGCGATCACTTGACTGTTCACCATCTCCAATCAGACTGTCAGCATGGCTTTATTGCCGTTAGATCCTGCACCACTAACCAACTGTCTACGTTGAACGATTAGATTCGCCTACTGGACGAAAGGGTACCTCGATTTTGCCAAAGCATTTGACAGTGTTCCGCAAGCGCGGCTGTTGCGTAAAGTGAAGTCTTTTGGAATTGAGGGAAACGTATTCCAATGGATAAGAGATTTTGTAGAAGGTAGACGCCAACGTGTCAGTATTAACGGAACTGTGTCAGACTGGGCATCAGTGCGCAGTGGCGTGCCACAAGGAAGTAGTGTCCAGCGTCTGCTGCCAGAAGTAGTGTCTAGCGTGTGCTCATGTATGCCGATGACACAAAAGTTTACAATACAGTGGAGGATGCGTCAAAAAAGTTAAGAGATCGTAAGTTCATCAGCCAATCATTGACGGCCTTTCGAGAAAAATCCACCAATCATAGACAAGAAAATAGAGCTCAAGTACTTACGTTCACTTAAAGAGTTTTGAAAGTTTGGCCCTTTGACAGTTTAGTTAACTGGGCTGATAAGTGGCAGCTGCGGTGTAATACTGACAAGTGTAAAGTACTTCACCTCGGGAAGAACAATGAACAGCAAGATTACAGTATAAGAAGACATGGTTGCAACGAGAGAGTAATGAATGAAAAGGTTATATAAAATTATCTCGGAGTTTATTTCGACAAGGATCTGAAATTTCTAAGCATGTTGAAACGCAATCTTATAAATCCAACAAACTTCTTGGACTGATCAGACACTCTTACGAGTTCCTAGATGCATAAGCATATGTTCAGTCTTAAAATGCCTAGCAAATTACGGACCAGGCAATAAGTCCAGACGAAGCTATGCAGGAGCATATGTTCAGTCTTAAAATGCCTAGCAAATTACGTAGCAGGCAATAAGTCCAGCAGCTATCTCAATCAATCGTCAGTTATGGAAAGATCGGGTTCCAAAGGCCGGATCCCTTGTGAATCAAGTCACGAAAAGTTCAAGAATCGGCAACAGGCCATGGGCCTATGTCTTCAACGCCGACACTTCTATTCTATTCAAAAGCGGTGAAGCAGTTGTTTATTGCTGTCGTGCGCCCGAATCTAGAGTTTGGAAACGTTGTGTGGTCACCGAGACTTGAAAAAGACAAAAATTTAATAGAGAATGTTTCAAGACGTGCAACATGGATAATTCCAGGCTTGAAGAGAAAGTTCTATGAAGAAAGATTAAAGATTATGAAGCTTCCAAACCTCTGTTATCGAAGTCGGCGTGGGACCTCCTTGAAGTATACAAGTACATTCATGGTTTATACAAGGTCCCAGGAGGATTACTAGAATTTGAAACAAGAACCAACACTAGGGGCCACAGCTATAAACTAAAACTTGCGCTGCAACTTCTCCACGCGACAACATTTCTTCTCGCTTCGAATCACCGACAAGTGGAACAGCCTCCCCGTTTACAACGTTGACGCTCCAAGTATGATCGCGTTCAAGAACAGACTAGATAAAGCTATAGCTATGGAAAATATATATTCAGACTTGAAATGCCTAGCACCATATCTAATTCGGTGGAAGTCTAATAGCTATTTCAAACTATGGTCAGTCATGAAAAGATCCGGTCCAAGTACACGATTTTAAATCTTCTGTGAAAAAGTTACGAAGAGTCAAAGAATCGGCGACAGGCTACATCAGGCCTACTCTACAGCGCCGACGTCACTATGTTATGTGTTAAGTTTACTTACTCGGCGTTAACCCATCGAGATTTCCAAATCACGAGCTAATTTACTCCGTCAACAGTGTTGAGCCAATCTATTAATCTCTGTTTTGTGTTCTCAATAGAATATGCAGGATTTATTTCCGGAGATATAGATGAGATTCGAATCAAGTTACTGCTTTCATTCCTTATACCAACGAGATTTCCAGCACTTGAGCCATCGTCAACATGACAGGCTTGGTCCCAGGCTTTGGATTTATTCGCGTATCAGGAAGAGAGAAGTAAATTGTCAACTCTGTCCACACCAACTTGTTGGAGCTGTAGCAGTAGCTGGGAAATTTGTTCGGGACTTCCAAGAGTTATGATAGTGTTTAATTGTCCTTCCACAATTCATATTCAAGGTCAGATAGGGGTTATTAACCTACACTAGTTGCAGACATGAGCTGATAGTGTTTAATTATCCCCAACATGTCATAGGCATGGGCCGAGGCTCTAGACAAGCTGGCCCAAGATGAGAGACGTGCCCTGCACGGGCTTCCCGTCAGCGTCAAAGACTGCATCATGGTCAAGGGTTTGGACTGCACGCTGGGGCTGCTCAAGAAGGTGGGGCAGCCCGCCCCTGTGGACGCAGATGTCGTCACGGTCCTCAAGGAGCTGGGGGCCGTGCCCTTCGTGAAGACCAACGCGTCGCAGCTTTGTATCAGGTGACCCAGGGTTTCGTTTACATATTCCATGCGGTTCTTAACAATTCACAATAGCAAATGAGTAATCTGACATTTAATCTTAAATGGTCAATTTGTGAATCCTGTTTTTTATTAAATCATCGGGAATATCATTTCCCTTCTCAGGAAGAATGCCGCATTGAAAGTTGTACAAAAATATTACGTATAATTATAACAACATGAATCCTATTGAAACAAATTTTTGGTGTTGTCTGGGATGGTGTCAAAATTAATTAAACATTCAAAATAATTTTTTGTGAAGATGGTCACATTCACAATTGGATTGATTCCAGTTAATTGTGGTTGAAATCAGGTTCATCATTCAGACTCAGGTTCAGGAAAAAACACATAAAAACTTTAAAACAGAGATCTGGAAAAATTCCACTAGCTCCACTTCCAGTATTGTAAGGAAAACCACTCATTTCGAAAATGTCAGTAACGAGTCGTCAAGGTTTTCAATTCTCCCACTCCCTCAAGTGAAGCAAGTGCAACATACCGTGTGAAGATATATTTATTTTTGGAATTCACGACTAGAATTATCTACTTCCTAGCATTGGCTGCTCGAACCCTCTGTGGGGCGCTGCACGACATCCGCTCAACGCAGCGAGGACCCCCGGCGGCTCCTCTGGTGAGGTGGTCGACTAGATCGCTCATGGATGATTCGGCCTTGATAATTACGAGGATTTAATTAATAAAACCATAATAATAATAGCGATTGATAAATCGCTGTATAATAAATTTTATAGCGATTGAAGAGCTAAGATATTTCTTTGCATGGAGATTGAAATATTATGATGCCACTGAATTGCTCACTGTGGGATGATGAGCTGATTTCCCAAAGATAATGGTGATTAGGTAAAATGATTTGGCATCAGTTGTTAATTTGACGTATATAATATTAGGTTGTTATTCCAACGTATGTAATCAGGCATAGAAAGAGAGAACGCTTCATATTCCGTCATGCGTCGAGTAAAAATGTTGAAGGCTTCCTCGTATTTTATAAGGCGGTGAAGGGGTTCTCATCAGCGGCGGAGGTTCGGTGTTGGGGATCGGAACAGACCTCGGTGGGAGCATCCGCCTGCCCGCCAGCTGGTGTGGAGTGGTGGGCATCAAACCCACCGCTAAGAGGATGTCTAGGAGGGGACTCGTTGGGGCCCTCAGGCCTATTGGCAGTAAGTTATCATTTTAGGAACTATGCAATTACATGCAATAACACAGTATCAATCGGCGACTGGCCAACCCGGCCTATTCTTCAGCGCCGATGTTTCTATGCTATGCTATGGAGTCATGAACTTCCGCTAACTATAATAGTGGTACTCAATCGACCTTCGTTATATAAGAGCATTTTACCTAATGAATATCGGTTTTAAATAACCATAAAACGTCATCAAATGCAATAAAACAGTTGCATTTAATAATAAAATTAATGAAAATTTAGCTTTCTTATACTACCAAATTCCATATAATTTGCTGCCATCAAATGAGATAATGAGTTTAGTTAGTATTTTAGTAAGTATTTGGTTTAGTGTTTAGTAAGTATTTAGTTTTTGGGTGAGACTGGAAGTTGATCTGATCTGATGCTCATGAATCTTATCCTTAAAGCTAGATTAATAATCCAACCCGTTGTTATAGTCTAAGACGAAAAATTATATTAGTAAACCAGTTTATAAATCGCTTTGAAGAATTCTAACTCGACAATTATTGTTCAGTATTTGGAACCTGGGGCTTAATGGGCAAAGACGGGGCTTTTGTGGCCGAGGCGACCAAGGCGATTTTCTCCGCGGCCGACTTCCATGCCTGCGATCCGGAGGTGCCGCCTCTGTCCTGGAACGACAGCGTCTACCTGTCCAAGATGGCCCTCCGTGTCGGATGGTTCGACTCGATATCCCTCTTCCCCAGCACTCCGGGGGTGAAGCGCGCTGTGGCGCAAGCCGTGGCGGCCTTCGAGGTTAGTGAAGCGCGCTGTGGCGCAGGCCGTTGCGTCCTTATATGATAGTGAAGCGCGCTATGGCGCAGGCCGTGGCGTCCTTATACGATAGTGAAGCGCGCTATGGCGCAGGCCGTGGTGGCCTTCAAGGTTAGTAAAGCGCGCTGTGGCGCAGGCCGCGGCGTCCTTATACGATAGTGAAGCGCGCTATTGCGCAGGCCGTGGTGGCCTTCGAGGTTAGTGAAGCGCGCTGTTGCGGTTTCCGAGGTTGGTGACGCGCTGTGGCGCAGGCCATGGCGACCTTCAAGGATAGTGAAGCTGGCTGTGGCGCAGGGCGTGGCGGTAACATGTAAGCATTGAGATAACTAATTGATGGCTTTTTATGGTTCTTGCAGGCCCTAGGCCACGAAGTGGTCGCGTTTCCTGAGCAAAATTGGATTGAAGGCCTCGATATTTGCGTTCAGTTACTCTTTGCCGATCAAGGAAAGTTTGTGGATCTTCTGCTGGATGGCGAAACTGTAGACGAAGAACTTTTGTGGTACAAATCGTTTGCTGCGGTGCCACCCGACCAAACTGAAGATCGTTGTCCCGAACTCCAACGACAGTTTGGAAGCGTAGCTGTGCAGCACAGCTTTTGTAAGTACTGTTTTTAAATTCTAATTCGCGCTTGAAATGCATATTAGTGCCTTTGTTGGGTGAAGTGGAAAATTTTGTTCTTTGGCGCATTATCTCATCCATAAAAAAATGCCCTATTGTGCTCATGTCTGTCTGTCCGTCCATCCATCCGTCTGTCCGTGACTTCACGTTTTTGTCGATTTTGAGAAAATGCACTTTCTGTCACTCACTGCAGTAAGTACTGAGTTATATATATTTTTTTAATATCTGACTGTTTCAGGCACATTATCTAGCTGCACAGATTTGTGGAAGAAGATGATAGAGAGAAGCGTGTTTGTCAACACATTTTACCAGAACTGGAAGTCAAATGGGCTGGACCTGCTATTATGTCCCGTCTATCCATCTCCTGCACCCAAGACTGAGCAAGTCGGAATGATTAATTGTAAGTAAAGTGACTATTTAAAAAAAGTCTTTCCAATATCCATCAACACACCTCCAACGATGCCATAATTTGTGATCATAACAATCATATTCACAGTGCATTTTGACAATTTGCCCATAGAGCACATAAAGAGAATAAAAATAATGATATGTCTTCATCGGATATTTATTCATACTATTTTTGCCTATTCTACATAGTCTCTATGATGCTGACCGCGATTTTTAACGTCATGGACTACCCCGCTGCTGCCGTGCCTGTCACTCGGCAAACCCAAGAAGAAGAGCTAAACATTGCCAACTATTCCTGCACCGACAAAATCCATGATCTAATTAAACAAGTTGGTATTATGTGGCATTTCATCTAGAGTGATGTGCATCATTTAAACAGTGCGGAATTGAATCATCGTATTCATCAGCTGAAGTGATATAGTTGTCACATTCTTTCAAATTTCTTAAACGTGGGAGATTTCAGAAAATTTTTGTAATTTACCGTATAGATTTGCTCTTTTGATCTTACCTAACAAACTTGATTGTGTAAGAGTTGAGGCAGTTGAAATATCTTTTACCTGGATGAGGAGTTCTATGCCTAGATATTGAAATAATTTTATGTGGCCTAATTTAACAATTTGTAGGTAAAATTGCGGAAACACAAATTTAGAGAGCACCTCATTCAAACAGGACCCTTGGTCCATAGAAGTTGTGGTTAATGCAATAATCTGTTGAAGAACTAAATTAACGAATTTTTTTCTTTTGGTTCATGAACGGTATGCATATAAAAAACTATCAGCGCAGCAAGTGCTAGCAATCCTTTTTGAACACGCCAATGCTTTAAAGAAAATGTTATTTTTACGACATATCCACTTGTAGTTGCAAAACTCACTGCCACGTAATTTCGTCTTTAAGTCCATCGGTGACTTTCAAACGGTTTCTGCCGAGCTTTCGAACAAAAATGGTACGTCTGAATTTTAGATCTAGAGAGAAACGCTTTTAGGTGGATTTTGCTTCAAAGTTTAGTGGTTTTCTTGGATGTCGATTTATCCACGGCGTAGGCGCCGTCAGTAACAGCGTTCAAATTGGTTAGATGTGTCTTTGAGTCTGATGAAGAAGGGGAAACCGGCAAAAACGTGCGAGAGAGAAGAATAATTAAAGACAGACAAAAGAGGACACTTCTCAGAACTGAGGAATATACCTTCAGATCATATTATGAAGGCTATTTCAAGCTGGTATTATTACATTCAAATTTACTATTTTCCCGCTACAGAACGGACGTGACGCCGTGGGCCTGCCTCTCGGCGTTCAACTCGTGGCGCTGCCATACGGCGAAGAACTGCTGTGCCGGGCTATAGCCGAGCTGTCCAACTCCCTCAAATATAAATACTGAGCTGCAGCTTTGATGGAGCTGCTGTGCCGGGCTATAGCCGAGCTGTCCAACTCCCTCAAATATAAATATTGAACTACCGCGCTGCAGGAGCTGCTGTGCCGGGCTATAGCCGAGCTGTCCAACTCCCTCAAATATAAATACTGAGCTGCAGCTTTGCAGGACCTGCAGTACCGGGCCCTTGCCAAGCTGTCCAATTCCCTCAACTGCAAATACTGAGAGCTGCTGTACTGGGCCCTAGCCGAGCTGTCCAACTCCCTCAAATATAAATACTGAGCTGCAGCTTTGCAGGACCTGCTGTGCCGGGCCCTAGCCGAGCTGTCAAATTCCCTCAACTGCATATACTGAATTACCGCGCTGCAGGAGCTGCTGTGCCGTGCCCTAGCCGAGCTGTCCAACTCTCTCAACTACAAATACGGAACTACTATACTCCAGGACCTGCAATGCTGGGACCTAGCCGAGCTGTACAACTGTAGTAACTGGAATTTACAACTCGCACTATCATTTCCTTTGAACGGAATAATTATTTTTATTCATTTCCATAGCTCGTTGAACACCATTTGCTGTAGCTTCATATAACCTTATTAGCAAAATTCAACTATTTACATCAATGTTCTCTATTATTATTCAATTGTGAAATATTAAATCAAAAATAGTATTACTGTCATAATATCAGTTCTATGCTATGTCATGTCTTTATTATAACGACCATCACCCACGCAGGTGTTGGTCGGTGGCATTATTCTTCAATTCATCAATAAATTTATTGAATCTTCATATTTTTCCCCCAAACCCACATAATACATATTTACACTAATCAATTAAGAGAGGGATGGCTGTTTGTAACTTCTAAATTCAATCTCAAACCTTTTAGTCACCTCATTCTTCAAAACTCTCTCTAATACTTATACTGAACTGCCGCACAACTTAAGGAACCAAGACTCGAATGATACACTGCATGCAACAAAAAATCGAACTTGGCTCTAAGATACCGAATTTTATGTCGATACAGACTCCAAAAACAGTTGCCTGATGCTCCTGGACATACAGTAAATTTGCACTTCAGTGCGTTCTTCGAGATATTCCCAATTATTCCACTCCTCCACACCATCGAATAATATATCTTTATTGAGTCGCCATTATAAACGGTGATTTGGACAACCACAGAAGAATTTTTTGGAAATTCTCAAGCTAGGTACAAACTTGACGGGATTTTCAGCGTATCGTTAGCCCAACCATGTTTGAACTAGTACAAGGTTGACCCACGCGCAGCGGCGCCTTGTGGATGTCATTTGTTTTTCCACCAGTGATGTCACCTTGGTCGTTGTGACGTCACCTTGTGATTCAAACTGATTTGGGACACCTGTTTTGCTTAAAATGAGACCAGTTGCAGTAAATAAATTGTTTTGGGTCATTTTAATGAGGTCAATTTTTTTATGGTTGAACTAATACAAACGTCACCTTGGCTCTTGTGACGTCACCTCGTGACGTCAAACTGATTTCTAAGACCAGTTTTGCTTAAAATAACACTAGTTGCATGCAGTAAATACATTTTCTTTTGCCATTTTGATGAGGTCGGTTTTTTCAAATGCTTTTAAAGCTGACATAAAAACAATGTGTTGATCTACACTATTTACATTTTGTGCCCACAGTGACGTCACTCTAGAGATGCGCAGAACGGCAAAAATAGTCATCGCCGTGGATCAACCTTATTTGAGTTCAACCATGAGCCCAACGGTCCGCCTGTTTCCCTGTGTTGAATAATTTATTTCTCCAATTATGGAAGTCTAGCCCGTGCTTGCCAGAACTCTACATATTCTTCCTAACAGTTGAAACTCCAACTCGTCGTGACTCCGGTCATGACCGGAATTTCTACCTTCATGATCCCCTTATCTCGTCGAGCACTGGACAGTGATAACACTCTAAAACTGTTTCGGATGAAAGCGATGCCAAAATATGAATGTATATATGATAGTAGTAGAGGTGGGACCTTCTGTTTTATGTGAAGGCAGGGACGGTTGGTTTGAATTAACGTACATACAGGTGGAATGAGAGGAGGGAAGATAAATGTTTTATGTATGATGAGGATGAAAAGGAAACTGTAGTGCATCAGTATCACCATATGGCGTGAGCACACGACTGAAGTAACATAACGTGGGAGCGAGTTAGTTATATTTCATAACGGCCTGGGGCTTCACGAGTTATAACCGAGTGGAAACTCGAAATTGGTAACTCGCCTATTTATCAGCATGGTTGAACTAATACTTGGTTGACACACGGCGATGACGATTTTTCGTCGTTCTGCGCATCTCTAGAGTGACGTCACTGTGGGCACAAAATGTAAATAGTGTAGATCACCGCATTGTTTTTATGTCATCTATGAGAGCATTAAAAAAATTTACCTCATCAAAGGGGCCCTAGAAAATTTATTTACTGCATGCATCTAGTCTTATTTTAAGCAAAGCTGGGGTAACATATCATTTTGACGTAACGAGGTGACGTCACATGAACCAAGGTGACGTCACAATAGCCAAGGCGGCGACGTTACAGTTGGAATAACAAATGACATCCGCAAAGCGCAGCTGCACTAGGGAAAACAATGTATTAGTTCAACCATGAAAAAATTTACCTCTTTAAAATGGCCCAAAAAAAAATATTTACTGCAACTAGTCTTTTTTTAAGCAAAACAGGTGTTACAAATCAGCTTGAACCACACGGTGACGTCACAACGACCGAGGTGACATCACGGGTGAAATAAAAACTGACATCCACAAGGCGCAGCTGCGCGTGGGTCAACCTTGTATTAGTATAGTATATCTTCGGCATTGAAGAATAGGAACCATGTATATAAGTATCCAAAATTTTCGCTGCCACTCCAAGACTGAAGCAGCAAGTTGAGTGTTTGAAACTCTCAGTTAATTGTGACAACTATTGCCAATATAGGCAAATTGACCGGGTGATTACGCGGAAGGTGGTTGTTAATTAAACTGGTTTTCTGCTCATTCGTAGATGCGGAAACTGGAAAGGGCACATCCAACACATCTCGGACAAAATTACGGCCGGACTCGCGGGCCGTCTCCAAATTCAGTGAGCATGAAATATCTCCCAAAGTAATGAACGTGGCTCGATGAAACTTGGTAGCTAGTTGCCAGTTGGTACACATATTCATTAGTGCCTAACGGTGATGTTTAGCTCGTGAGAATTTTTTCAGGCGTCCAACTCTGTAACAGTGTAACGCACAAACCGTGTGGGTTTCGTGTTGTGTGCTGCTGTAAGACTGTAAGAGTAAGTGATCGAACAAAATCTTGCGACAACCGAGAACGAAATCTTAAGTGCAACAATTCACATGTAGAAAAGAGATAGAACTTTTCACTACTCATTATTTTTTTAATAATCAAAAGTCCAACGTACGGCGAGAAAAAAAATAACTAGGAAATGTCAAACTGTCAAAGTAGCCTAACAGTCAAAATTGGAAAAACAAATTTTCCAAACTTGGAGTTGGGAGTTCGGACTAAACAAAGCATCCAGGTCCAGGCTGCAGTGACAGCAGACAGCCGAGAGCCTGAGACAGCAAACCATTAACCATCTAAATCACTAAATGGATCAATGGAAAAGCCATGAGAAAAAATTACGTTACTGGGTAAACTTTTACTGCAGCAAAATAATGATTCAACAATACAATATTTTCAGAAGACAGAACTTAGGGTAAACGCGGTAATCGGTATATTCCGACATCGTAGGTAATTCCGTCACCTCTCCAGCTTTTTCTTTATATTAAGCTTTGTTTTAGTTCCATGCGTTCTGCAGCGTTCATTGATGGTTGAAAACTTGAAATGGTGACGTCATACATTTGCGTGTCGAAATACTGCAAAAACACTAGGTCTTGGCCATCTAGTGGGAAAATATTGAGATCCAAAGAGAGATTTAGGGTTCGTTATTCCGTATTACTTGAACTGTGTTTTAATTTTCGTTTCCGCTAAACTCGCTTTTTGTCCTGGAAATTTTGTTGTTTATTAAACTTTCAAGGTAAAAAATCCTCTTACATTTTTTAATTACCAATTTAAAAAATTTATGTTGCCTTTGCTGTTTCTGGCTTTCAAGAGCATTATTCAATGCTCAGTAGGTATTCTGTTAATTTCACAAACTTTGTAACAACATTTTTTAAACGGGAATTATTACTACTAGTGGCTCAATCTCTTCGCCATTTATATTAATCATTATTTATTGATCATTAATTATCCTCAATATTTATCAACCTTCTGTATCATTATCTAAAATTTCATTAATCTCCATCTTTTCCGCTTATATTTATCCCATCGTATTTTCCCTTCATAATACTAAGTTTACGTCAAAAATCTTTAAAAATTTTATGCTTAATTTTCTGTTAAAACAGGATAAAATTGCAATCAATTAGCGTATCAATTATATAGTAATATTAATATTATAAGTATTCAATTATAGTAATATATAATCTCCAGTATATTATAATTAGCCTTGTTATAACAAATACGGAGCTAATAGATCTCGGCCTCTAAAGTTATTGGACTTCAAGGGCGGTCAGCGTTCATTAATATCAATACAAATAATATTGTCAAGATCAAACTAGTAAATAAAACGTGACCGAAGAAATACAGTCAACTCAGAAAAGAAGCTATTCAAGACCAGTCAAGTTCGAATAAGTAACAAGAAAATACGAACAAAATATGCATGAAAAATAGCAATTAATGATGAACTAACATGAAAAATAGCAACAGATGATGAACTAGCATGAAAAAATAGCAACAGATGATAAACTGGCATGAAAAAGCAACAGATGATGAACTAACATGAAAAAATAGTATCAGATGATGAACTAGCATGAAAAATAGCAACAGATAGTAAGATAGAAGAGAAAATAAGAAGATAAAAAAGGAGTCCAGCACCAAAATGCGCATCCGTTGGAAGTTGCCTCGAATTCGGCCGGTATCACTGATACTGATCCTGGTGGGGGCCACGGTCCTGTGGTTCCTTGTTCTCTCCCGGCCCCGGCGCGGTCTTGGGGACCAGCTGGACCCGCTCAAATACGAGCACCTGAAGCGGGACTACTTTGATGTCCCGGACTCTGTAGAATACGTAAGTGGTACTGATGAATGTGTGCGTGGTGATAGTGGATCATGGATTGCTTGTTGATTCTGGGTGTGGGAAAATATTGAGATCCAAAGAGAGACAATGCACGCTACCCAGTGAGATCATCGAAAAATGTGTCAAATTTGACAGTTCAACAGTTGACCTTGCTCTACCAAATAGTGAATAACTGTTTGTATAGGAAGAATATTATGGTTTGAGACTTTCAAATATGTGTGTGGATATATTAGGAATCCTTTAAGTATACTTGTATTTGCTGATTTCAAGTGGTAAATAAATTAATAGATGATTAAGTTGAGAAATGGATTTAGACACATGAAAACTAATTCCGTCACAACTTGAATTGGACACACACAGATTGTTCCAAGATCCAAGCTATGTACAAAAATTAAAATTTGCTTAATTAAAAGCTTAATAGTTGTTAGTTAAAAGCGTAATTAAGTAGTGTTCAATATTCATTAGTGTTCTAATTCAAAGCTGTGTTGTTTTCCAATACAGCTCACACAGCGAACGGAATTCAAACACGTGGATGACGGCATTACGTATCAGAATTTGAAGCGCGGACGGAATACACCTCATCACGTGCCGAATATTGCCACACACAGTGTTGGAATATAGGGATTTGGTAGGTTTGCATTCTAAAGGCTTTTAAATAAATATGGCAACATTTTGTGACGTTTCATCGTTGCTGGCGCTTAGTATGCGGTGTTTTGCAAGTCACATAAAGCAAACAGAACTTGAGTAATGCATACGGTTATTTTTTTATACTATTTCATTTCCCGATGCGTCCTTAATGTGTCAGAATATACCGCGTTTACCCTACTTTTCCAAAATCTCACTTTTCACATTTTTTTTCAGGGATTTTTTAGAGGTAGTAAATGTATGATTTCTTAACTGGTTTTATGCTACATAGATAAGAAGAAAAATGTTGGACTTTATGCCACTATTTTTAGTTTTACAATATTTCAATTAGTTTAGCTGGTACAACATTTCTACGAAATGTCAGAGGACTGCCCCATATTACCCTTCCCATCCCTTATTACCCTGTTTGATGGTACTGTCCTTAAGAGTATTTATTTCCTAAAAGATATAAAAGTGTAATTATTTCCAGACTACAATACTTTTAGCTCAGACTTCAGAGCCTTATAGGCTTATACCATAACATACTGCATTGTTGTGAAGTTATGGTCAACTTATGACTGACATCCGGCTGGGACAGCTGGACCTTTACAGCTCTACTCTACAGCTTTAACATTTACAACACTTTTGGGCCCATTTGTTAAATTGTTGGCTGCTGGCGCTGGGTATGAGTCTCACTGTTGCACAGTCCCCTAATCACTAGTATAATAATTAACCAAATTGTAGAAAATGCAGTGAATTTAGTGGCTGAAAAATCAAATCTCTGGTGTACATCCAACCCCAGTACATCCCAAACAAAAAACTCCTCCATACTCACAATATCTTCCAGGCATAGGACCCTACCTTATTTGTACAATACACCTAACCATTATTGAATAATAGGTATGCAGAAGGTCTAGACGCCATAGTGCTGATTGCCGTGTGCTGCACATGTTGTGTACAAATCATTAAACAAACATTCAATTTTTTTACTTTGACTCTGTACTGCTGCCCCCTTCTTCCTCACTGCCCCATTTCCAGTTGTCATCCAAACCTAGGGCATCAATAAATCTTTATATTTTGTTAGGAGCAATTTCTGTTGATGTTGCAAAGCTTGTAGAGCAAAGTAGTGAAAAATCCACTATTCTGTTTTCAAAAATATTGAGGCTCTTACATCACATCATGTTGGTTGCTAAGAATCTCATGGCTTTACCAAGTCATATGCTTAGGTTTTATCAATAATGCTGTGGTCCATGGAAGAACCATTTTCTGAAATATAGAACTACAAACTTCAGTACCAAGCTCCTGACTAAATATCCTGCACAATGACTGCATCCAAAGGCCAAACCTGTTGAGTTTGTGTTGATGATTGCATTATTTTCATAGTTGAGGTGACAAAGTCAGGATTGCAATTTTCCTCCTCATTACACAAATCTTGCAGCCCTGAAGTGAAAAATTTTCAACATCTAGAATTGTACACTTTTACTAACAATTAGAGCAGAGGTTATTCAACTAGCAGTAATCTTGCAGTTCTTAAAATATCAGAGATGTTCTGGTTGTAGCTTGTGAGGTACTGAGGTAGATATATACCAGGCCTGGTTGAGGTCTTGTCAGACTGCACTATAGGCTTGTAGCTATGTTATTTCTTGTACATAAATGCAAAAAATATGTTATCACATTGCTAAATCTGGAATTCCTATGCAGGATCTACCCAACCTCAGTTTGCAATCCTGGTGTATGCAACAAGTTAAACTCTTCTGGTTGATCTGACTCCAAAAGATCTCAATATAATTATTAGTCAATCGTAAATGGTACAAAACTGATTCACACTGGTTATTTCCTTAATTTGACACAAATATTCCAGCACCCCAAAAGTTATAATCAAATAAATCATTGTCTCTGTCAATGTTAGATTTTTGTCATTGTGAAAATCTATTTAAAATTAATTAAAAGAAGAGCTACTGGTGGTAAACTATGGTACCTACAAAAACATGTTGCACCTCGACATTTGGAGCTCATGAGCTCACAAATGAATCATTGGTCTACAAAATTATCTGAGATGAAATAGAACTTAGTTGAAACTATGAACAAATTAAATGTCACACATGCTTGAATCAGATAAATGCCTCTGATGTAAAGCCCACTTGATGAATTATCTCCTATCTTATTGTTAAACAAAGTGCAAATTTGGGTCCAGGGCTAATAAATGTATTATTACAGGAGGAAATGTAGTATTATCATTGGGAGATATTTTCTTTTCTGATTAGTATTAAGTGAATATTATACAATATTTTCATTGATTGAACTTCACATTTTCATATTTTACTCATCATTGGTATGTCTATTTATTTAATGTTTTAGATTCTAAAACATTTTTCAAAATTTCAGGTACAAGATGCTATCAGACAGATTTTTTGTATCATGTAGAGCACTTGCAACTTGTGCAAGATTGCATGCATTACCTAAAGAAGCAACCACTTTCAAAGAAGTCAAAATTATTAGGAAAGAACCTGCCAAAGAAACTCCTCCTCCTCCCAAAACTTTTCTAAGTCTTCTCAGGAACTCCAAGTTTATTGAGGTATTATATCCATCCAATTCTCTTCCTAATTAATGTCAAAATTTATTGAAACTCTAACTCCAACTCTAAAAGTTCCATCAAAAGATAAACTTATCATTATCCAATATCCATTGATTATCAGATTGTTTTTGGATTTGTCTGTTTTTTTTTTTTTTAATGGTAAATTTTCTTACTGAATGATAATGGAATATTTAATCATGCATATATGGTGATGGAATATTTATTTATTGATGATAGAATATTTAATCATGCTTATATGGTTATTCCTTCAGTTGGGAGACCCTCGGGGCAAGTTGGTGGAGGGACGTGTGATGCAAGTTGTGGGTGATGACCTCTACATTGACTGGGGGGGCAAGTTCCTAGCCGTGTGTCAGCGACCCATCAAAAATCAAGAGTAATTTTTTATTGTCATTAATCTAATGCATAATTACCTTGTCTTTATTATTCATTATATGTTTATATACATATTTATGTTTCAAATTTCAATGAAAATTTTTGGCATAGTCATTACTCATTGGACACAAGATTTCTCATTCATTTTTTAATCCTTTGTTTTAAAATCAAGATATTGCTATGAATTAAGTTCAACATGGTAGTAAGATATTTATATCAGGGAATTTCTGCCTGTAGTTAAGTGCATGAGAATTGCTAATTGGGTTCTGTAAGTCAATGTTCATAAAAATGCTAAATCCCATTGTACAGGGTTATGCTAAATGATGGACCCAATTTAATAAATTTGTATTTATTTAAGTATATATTTATAATAAATAATTCATTCACCAATGTAAAGAGAAAGATTCAAGGTTATTTCTAGTTTTCTACATATTTTTAAATGTTTAATATGTCTTCCTTGTGCTGCACGGCAAACATCTAAACGGCAGCCAAACTCGTCCCACACACGAGAAAGCATAACTGCTGTTACTGAGTGCACCGTAGCAGTGATACGGTTCTTCAGATCAACCAGAGTTGCTGGTAGAGGCAGGACGTAAACAGAGTTTTTTTTTGTGGTTCCCCGGTCTCACTTTTACAAGAGACCCTGAGTTATTGTAAACAGAGTTGCTGGTATAGACAGGACGTAATCAGAGTTGCTGGTAGAAGCGGTACATAAACAGAGTTGCTGGTAGAGGTGTGACGTACACAGAGTTGCTGGTAGAGGTACGTAAACAGAGTTGCTGGTAGAGGCAGGACGTAAACAGCTTCCTTTATGTAGCCCCATAAGAAATAGTCACATGGGGTGAGATCAGGTGATCTCAGTGGCCAGAAGTGTAGAGCCAGATCTTCACATCCTATGCGTCCTATCTAACACTGACTGAAGGAAAGGAGACTGAATTGATAATGAAAGAAAAAATTCACCACCCAATTTTGCATTTGAATAGGTTACAAATATTTAAATCTTTCTCTTTCCATTTGTATATAAATTATTCATTTTGAATTTAGACCTAGATAAATAAAAGTTTATTAAATTGGATTCATCATTTAGAATGGGTAACCTTGTATAGTTAGAGATTAAATAAATTGCTACTTATCTCTGTTAAGTTGAGCCTACTGACATGCTAAAAGAACAGACTTCATGCAAAAAATTATTATTGACTTTGCCCTTTATGCCAATCCGCTTAGTCAAAGATGGTTGATGCCTTCTCAGAATTTTGTAGTTTACATTATTTCGTTCATTTTATAGTTTTGCAATCAAATTTCGGAAGTTTGCCAGTCATTTATATCCTGTTTACTAAATGAGACAGGGAAAAAATGCCTATTCACTCATGTAGCTCCCAAAGCCGTGCTAAGTAAATGTAAGGCTAAACATTTCAACTCCTTAGATAAAATTGCCATCAACTTATATTATTGTTTTGTGCGACATGTTTGCCTTGACCTGAACAAGATTTATCAAAAATTTCTGTTTATTTTTTGCACCATCTAACGCTTGTTTAGTAACAATTCAATACTACCAATACAATTTTTGAGGTATTATATCATTACCTATTACCTCTGTTTTGTGCTAATGTGCATGTTGAGAGGTACCAGTACCTAGTAAGATCAACTGTGCGTACCTAATAATTTATTTTTGTTGTGGCGAATCTCAGCCTCCGAGACCCCAAAATATCATTTCATGACATTTTTCTCATGAATCAAGATGTGATAAATGCTACAATAAATATTCCCATTATTGTAAATAAATGTTTTGTTTGTAGGAAGTTCATACGTGGAGCCGTGGTGAGAATACGTCTGCTAGACGCTGAGCTGTCGTCACGTTTCCTGGGCTCGACCATAGACCTGACCTTACTGGAGGCTGATGCTAAGCTTCTCGGTCTCGTCTCCTCTCCTCTCGGCCGCAGTTCCAAGCATTAACAGTGCTTTTATTCTAAATTTATTGTTTATTTACCTGATCAATAACAGTGTTTTTTGTTCTTAATTTATTGCTAATTTACCTGATCAATAGCTCCCAAAATAAATTTCCCATAGGTGGTGGTATAAACATTTTTCAAGGGTAATGAATGTGACAGGAGAAAGTTAATGACGGCCTTAGTATTTAATGCGAAGTTGGCGGAGGAGCGAGGGAAGTAACCAGCAATTCATCAGAGCGTTGAAATGTTTTTTTTTTCGGGCAGCTGGCACGGAAATAGCATGAATCATTGACGTTGTATAAACATAATTGAACGTCTGTGTTTAGAAATCCTTGACAGAGTGATGGGCTACATGCCCTACCGATATGTTCACATGCTATCTAAATAAAGAACCAAGTTTGAATAAACTGACTCCACTGTAATTTTATTTTAATTCAAAAAAAGGCTCAGTCCAGAAGTTTTTCGACCGATATGCTAGTGAATGTCGCTGTTCGCTTAACATTTAAAGTTCTTCGTAGGGTCGGCCAAAGAAAGAGTCTTCGGGTAAGGACAGGCAAGAGCAGAGAAGCTGTGTTGATTAGAAGGATGTTCCTTCCGAGCAAGCCGCGCTCGGGAAAGCCTCCTCTTGAAAGAGTGCACTCAAAGAAATGTGTAGGATTGTCTAAATAACGATGCTATTTTCGCCCCCTTGGGTGGGTTATCCTGACCTAATAACGACCGGGAAAATGACGTATCAGTGTGACGCATAGTAATTGTGTCACAAATTAAACAATTTAACCAATTCCTTTTTAGCGCATTTTCTCATTTATGAATAAAATGCACTATTGTGCTCGTCATGTCCGTCCGTCTGTCTGTCCTTCCGTGACTTCACGTTTTCGTCGACGAGAAAATGTGCTCTCTGTCACTCACTGCAGTGAGTAATGAGCTATATTTTTTTTGTGTTCAGCAGGCACGGATTCCCACTTAGTCGCACTCACTTGACAACCGAAGCACGCGGTGCGGACGTGTGGTGACATAAATTACTGTACATACGTTAAATGACGCACACAGCAACGTAACTGAAGTTTGATGACGTGCATAGTAGCGTTACAGTCGAGATAATGAAGCGTTACCTTCGTTTTATTACTTACGACATGAGTTACAGACGGGTAGTAACACGGTAATAACTTATGGCGTCATGGTCTTGTGTCTCTTAAAGGTAACATTGTTTATTTGTAAAAACTTAATTAAATAACAGTAAATATCTCATTTGGTCGACATGTTTTTAACCTTGGAACTCCTTCGTCACTCTTGATATGTTAGGATAATTTTTATCCCTACTCAATAATGAGGATTTTTATTAAATATCAATATGAATGGTAGTTGTTATTAATACGAACAAAGATCAAATTCATACGTGTGTCAAAATAACAAATGGTCATGAGCTTACCATGGTGTTAGGAACGCAATGCTCGGCAGCGTCAATACTGAGAAAAATTAATAGATTATTTGTTCCATTAGTGACACACTTCGTTACCCACAGTTCAAGCGTAGAGCAGATCAGGTTATCTCCCGCAATGGCAAAATGTTCTTTGTTATTAGAACAAATATTTACTTATTCTTCTGAGGAAACGGTGTTATAGAATACTATACCATAGCGTTATGCGTATGTCGTTTCCGTCAATTTTAGCATTGCACCGGCAATTGGAAAACTGCAATAAAATACCAGCTAAAATTGTAGCTGTGGGTTGCGTGTTTGAGACCGCAACAAGCTGTAAATGTTCTGCGATTTTGAGAATCGGCGACAGGTCTAAAAGCCTAATCAAATCAACGCGCACACCGCTGCTATACTAAATAGACTATCGTAATCTTAATAACTGACTAAAAGATAATTATTTGAGTCGTCAATAACAAATGACGAATTTATTCCATTCTCAAATATAAATTTGTAAATAGAGCTTCGCTTGGTGGTGCCGGACGTGTGAGGTCGTCCAAAGCCTCCCAGTGACAAGTAACCGACTAACTGACTAAATTCAGGGTTGCCAGATAGGCCTTTTTCGGGCCAAATTTCGCAAATCTGGCATTTTTTAGATGCATTGGCCTCATGGTTGAATTAGGTTCACCATGCATTGGCCTGGCAAAGTTTATTTGGCCATTTTGTCCGTTTGAGGCTTTTTCATGAAAAATGTTACTCACAGCTTTTTGGAACTAATTTTGTCCTTCACTCAAAATATCATTTTGCTCAAGATGATTAAATTTGAACTTCGATACGCGACTGTGTCAAAACTTTCGTTTAGACTTTAGATGGCAACACTGGCCGAGTGCCGCCTAATCCGGACCACGCCAATGACGCCATGGCTGAAGCATAGGGAGCATGGGGGTTGCCCACTCATATTATAATTTAAACCATGAATGACTCAGCTGAGACTGCAGATAGTTATCCCCTTTTGTGAAAAATAGTAAATTCATTAGTAATTTCTGTCGTAAAATCGCTGTTTCTCGATACATCAAGTCATTTAGTACGAGGCACTAAAAAATTTTTCTTTTAATTGGTTTAATGAATTTTGTTATCAATTTTAAATGGGGCCGTTTTGGGCCTTTTGTGAGCTAAATTGGCCTTTTTCTTAATCTGGCAACCTAATACTTCTTAGCGCATTTTCTCATTTATGAAAAAAATTCACTATTGTGCTCACCATGTCCGTCTGTCCGTCCGTCTATCCGTCCGTGACCACGTTTCCGTCGACGAGAAATGCGCTCTCTGTCAGTCACTGCAGTGAGTACTGAGATCTATATATTTTTCTTTTTCTAACCAACGTTTCTGACGAATAGTTTCATAAAATTTGGAGGTATTAGTCAGCTTTCGAACAATAGAATTTCTGGTATATTTCTGGTATTTTGAGCTAGGCAATCTGGTATTCTCGAAGAGAAAAAACCTGGCAACACTGGCCGGGCGGCGGGCTTCAGTGTTGCGTTAGTAGTGATTGGGTGAGGTGTGGCGCTGTGAAACTGCCAAGCCCTTCACTCATTTCCTCTCAGTAACTGTAACTGCAAAGAGTATGCTTTTTTTCAAGTGAAAAGTTGCCCAGGAAGTGAATGTGTACGCTATCCTCATTATTAACTCATCCAAGTATTTGGAAAACTTTTATTCTTAGTTGGTTAAGTGATTGTTTATCTACGGAACCTGTAGTTAGAGATAACGAACCGTTGCGTGTGTTGAATGGACTGAGAACGTGAACTACCGGCCGGGAAAATGTGGTCAGATAACAGCCTACCTAAATCAATTTATGTTATTCTTTCCAATTCTCAACTCCAACATGGTTTTCTAATGATTAATAATTCTTTCTTTAATTCCTAATCAAATTCTTTAATAATGACGAAACTTCAAGGAAAGTTTCGTTTTAGGCACGTGAAACATTTCTCTAGCCTCGGACGTAACGAAATTTGTATTATTTCTCTCTGTTCGAACTGTAGATTTATTGTAAAACGTTTATTTATATTATTTATGTAAATTATTTATTATCTTCACACAAGGTGTGAAGATCTTCACAATGAGTTGCCGCCACCGACGAGAAGTAAATACTTTACTAACAGAATTTATTGACTTAGAACTTGGTTGCGGTATTCAATCTTCGGTGCACCAACGGTAACTAGAATTACCAGGCCTTTAGGTACGAATACCATTGGTGAAGGTTGCTGCAGGGAAATGTTTTGACGGTATTTTTTACGAATCATTCAAACACAAAAAAGTTAAATTTCTTATATTATCGAAAGACAGAAAATTAGGGCATCAGCAACTCGTGTGTCGGTCTTGATTAGGTGAAGGGGTTAATGAGCTTAATCTTTTGATCGGTTTTAGGTAAATTTCAATTGAGCTTGAATTATGGGCTGGTTTAATCCGTGTAATTGAAACAGTCATGCTTGAGACGGTGCCGCCTCGCGCTTTGAACAACAGTGTATGGAAATCCTTGACAGAATGTTAAAATGTGTGATGGCTACCGTATATGCCCTACCGGTGTTCACATGCTATCTAACTAAAGAACCCAGTTTGAATAAACTGACTCAACTGTAGTTTTATTTTAATTCAAAAATAGCCTCAGTCCAGAAGTTTTTCGGGCAGCTGGCACAGAAAAAGCATGAATCATTGACGTTGTGTAAACATAATTGAACAACAGTGTATGGAAATCCTTGACAGAATGTTAAAATGTGTGATGGCTACCGTATATGCCCTACCGGTGTTCACATGCTATCTAACTAAA